ATCTCCTCTCTCTCTCGCTCTCTGCTCTCTCTCTCTCCCTCTCTCTCTCTATCTGCCTATCTTTCCTCCACTCTATCTAATCCTCGAACGGCCCCTGGCTTTCTCTCTCTCTCGCTCTCGTCTCTCTCTCTCCTCTGTCTCTTGTCCCATTCCTCTCTCGTCTCTCTCATCTGCTCGTGCTTCTCTCCGTTCCAACATCTCTCTCTCTCTCTCACGTCTCTCTCTCTCGTCTCTTCTTCTCTTCTCGCGTAATCATTTCTTCTCTCTCCCCTCTCTTCTCAACACACTCCCTTCTACTCTCTCTCACTCATTCCCGCCTTCTCTCTCGTCTCTCCTCTCTCTCTCTCTCTCTCGATACTCGTCCTCTCCGGTCCTCGTCTTTTCTCCTCTCGGTCCTCTCTCCTCTCTCGTCTCTTCCTCTCGTCTGCTCGACGGTCTCATCCTCCTCTCTCTTCACCCGTCTCTCTCTCGGCATCCTCCCTCCAATCCTCATCTCCGTCATTCCCTCTCTCTCTTGGAGTCTCTCACTCTCCCTCTCTCGAGCGCTCGGAGGTCTCTCGTCCGTCCTCTCTCTTCTTCTCTCTATCTTATATATCTATCTAATCTATCTATTCTATCTATCTATCTATATCTATCTATCTATACTATCTGATGTTATTTATCTAGTCTATGCTATCTATGCTATGGCTATCTATTCTTATTATCTATCGTATTTATCGTATCCTATCTTCATTTTCTCCTCCTCTCTGTCTCTCCTCTCGTCTTCTCTCTCTCTCCCGTACGTCCCTCTCTCCCCGATCTTCCTCTCCCCCCTATCGGCCTCGTCTTGCCCTCCGCTCCCTCTCCAACTGGTCTCCACCCCCTCCGAGCTCTCCCACTCGCCCTCGGCCCATCTCCTCCGCCTCTCGCTGTCTCCTCCGTTCGTCCCTCTCCGCCCCTCCCGTCTTCCGCTCTCTCGTCGTCCGTCCTCCTTCAAGGCGAATCGAGTCTCATGCTTCTTGCCTCCCGGTCGCGATCGCCCTCACCTCAGTCTCCTCTCCTTCTCCTCACTCTCTCCTTCCTCTCTCATCTCTGTCATCTTCCTCACTGCTCCCTCTCCCCTCGTCCATCTCCATCGTCTCCTCTCGATGGTATCTCTCTCATCTCTCCTCTCCCATCCATTCCTCTCTCTCTCGTCGTCTCTCTCTCGTCTCATCTCTCTCTCTCTCTCCGTCTCTCAGTCTCATCTCTCTCGTCCGATGGATGGATGGATGGATGGATGGATGGATGGATGGATGGATGGATGGATGGATGGATGGATAGACGGACTGACGGACGCACGGACGGACGCACGGACGCACGGACGGAAGCACGGACGGACGCACGGACAGACGCACGGACGGACGCACGGACGGACGCACGGACGGACGGACGGATGGATGGATGGATGGACGGACGGATGGATGGATGGATGGATGGATCCTATATCATATATCCTATTTTCCAAACACATGCATTCATAGTCAGCCACGGCATATCAGCCAACTATTAAATCTGATCGGCTGTTTCTTTCAGGATTCAGCATTCGACTCGGCGTTCCCCTCTCACGGCGAGTGACAGAGAGTTGCCTGCCCCGCGTATCGTGTAATTTCCTCCCTGCCGATGGTCATATTAAAAGCAATCTCGCATGAGCCGGGATCCCGTAATATCGCGACGTATCAGCAAATAGAGGCTTATGTAGGCGAACCCTATAGCTCTATACACACCCACCCATAAGCCTCCGATAACCAACAACAGCTGCTGTAACGATGAAGACTGAAAGTAACTACGGCAGCATTATAGCACGCGAGGTTTTGAGCACGCAATAATTGCTTTATCATAACAAGTCCCGTAGAGGTCATGGTGCCATCTGTATTAAACGATAATGCGTTCTATCTATATGCATATATTAGTATTTAACAGCTGATTGATGATATTTTACCATTAATTTCTTTATCATTGGGTACAACGTCGTTTTCTGTAAATGTATCTATAGATTACCTATATTGCGAGTAACTCGGGATACGTATACGCAGCATAGATTATAGCCTAAAAATAGCTATTGATACGATCGATCGTTATGACCAGCACGCATTTTTAGCTTCAACTACATGATTACTACATGACTATCACATCGGTGCGAAACGACAAGATCACTGCACACCGATATAGAACGTAGCATATACGCCCATACGTAGCTACTGTGTAGACTGGCTGCTGGCACACGCCATCATCATCTTATCAACGTGTAACGTCAATACAACGCTATAATGAATCGTGGCCGTAATTACACGATTGGGGCTAAAACCCAGTCGGTTATTGCCTGCCCGCGTCTGCCTGCCCTGGATGATGTGACGTAATACATAGTATTATCGGCGCTTACGCAACTCGCGTCGAGGGTTCCGGATAATTGAATTAGTCCCTTGTCAGGTTCGCCACGCGTCCGCACGTGAATGCGCGGCGGCCGGCCGCGATTCGCCGGTCGGACGTCACGTGACGCGGTGACGCCGCACAGCGCCTCGCAACCCTTCCGCTGCTGATGCATCCAGGAAGACTCGCACGCACACGCGCGCGCGCTCGCATAAACACACAGCGACGCACACGCCGACAGACACGTACGCGTACGGCGCGCAACTCTGGCACGCTGTCGATCGTAAGACTTCGTCACACTACACCTCGCCTCGCCGACACTGTTTGCGCGACGTAGGCCGCACGTCGCTCCGAAACCGAGAACCCGGAAAGCAGCCAGTCGCACGGGACACGAGCGGCTACAGCTGTAGTTCTATAGAAGTGACCACGGTACATTCAGATCAGAAGTGAAGATTTGACTCCCGCATCTCACGCGTGCCGTGTCTTCTTCGCGGAAGCATACATTCAGCCGAACGTCGGCCATCGACGCCTCTAGAAGTTTGCAAAGACAACGAAACTTGACCGACGTCTAACAAGATGTCAGCCTCGACGCCCACGTGCGTCGCCGCCGTCGTCGTCGTCGCCGCCGTGACTCTTTTAACGTGCGTCGGCGACGTCGCGGCGCAGCGGGAGAGCAAGCTCGCATGCATGCCGTCGTCGGTGGCGCAGGGCGTCGCAAGGACGTCGGGAGACAACGAATTCCGGATCCGCTTCCACGGCAATCCTTCCCCGGGAACCTACACCCCGGTGCAGCCACTGACAAGTAAGTGTATGCGTTCTGCTGTGGCTGTTGCGGTCGCTGTAATCATGGCAGGTATCACATAACACCCGGCTGAATTGCCTTTGATATTGTTGAATGTAGACGTTTGCAGGCAATATAGGTCATGTTCGTGACTCAGGTATGACATCTACGAGAACGGATCTATTGTCTCAATCAAGAGGAGTTTGTATATAAAGCTTGTGTGTGTGTGTGTGTGTGTGTGTTGTGTGTGTGTGCGTGCGTGCGTACTGTGTGTGTGTGTGTGTGTGTGTGTGTGTGTGTGTGTGTGTGGTGTGTGTGTGTGTGTGTGGTGTGTGTTGTGTGTGTGTGTGTGTGTGTGTGTGTGTGTGTGTGTGTGTGTGTGTGTACAATGTGTGTGTGTGGTGTGTGTGTGTGTGTGTGTGTGTGTGTTATGTGTGTGTGTGGTGTGTGTGTGTGTGTGTGGTGTGTGTGTGAGAGAACGTGTGTGTGTGTATCGTGTGTGTGTGTGTGGTGTGTGAGAGAGAGAGAACGTGTGTGTGTGTATGGTGTGTGTGTGGTGTGTGTGTGTGTGTGTGTGTGTATGTGTGTGTGTGTGCGCGTGCGCTGGTGTGTGTGTGTGTGTGTGTGTGCGCGCGCGGCGTGTGTGGTGTGTGTGCTGTGATAGAATACTAGCTAAGTACGTCATAATGCATAGATATATATATATCGTTACAATATATATATATATATCAAGAGCTAATAATACCAGTATACTTATTAGCTCTCTGATATATATATATATATATATAAATATAGAGAGAGAAGAGAGAGAGAGGAGAGGAGAGAGAGAGAGAGAGAGAGCGAGGGAGAGATCTTTGACTAAGATATAGAGGTATGGACGCTGAACCAAGAATATGAGAATGGGTGGGTAATCGTGGACAGATCTGGCACTTCTCGGGGGGAGGGCCGTCTCGTTCTATAATAGTGAAGGGAAAGGTGGTTTATAGCATCTACATACGGAGCTGGTTTATGGCACGGTTTATGGCAACACTAGAGGAAAGGAAATGTTGTCAATACGTCAGAAAAGAAAATGATTTATGACACAAGCAAGAAAAGGTAGTATTTATTACTCTAGCAAGAAAATCGATTATATGACATCACATAGAGAATGCACGGGTTTTGACACCAACGGGAAAAGGTGGTTCAGGACACCAACAGGAAACGGTAGGGCATGACGTCAGCAGGAGAAACTAGCTTGAGACATCAGCAGGAGTGGGTGGTTAAAGACGCCCGTAGCAGATGTCGATTATGACACTAGGAGAACAAAATGGATTAAAATGCCATTAGGCGAAGCTGATTTAAGATACCAAGCGGACAAAGAGGATAGGAAACCAGAAGGAGAATGCCGCTCGATGTATCAGTGAGATGATGTGGCTTTGAGGTTCCGTTGATTAACAACGCTTGGCTTCATAATGCACAGCGCGAAGTCACAATACCTTGTCGCTTCGAATAAGCCGGCTCGTTTACGCGGTTACACGGTAATTATGGTCGCTTTCACGGCCTCGTATTTTTTAGTTACCTCATCGAGTCGGTTTTAAAACGAAGCGGATCAAGCCTTCTCGATCCCGTTTGCGCGGGAAATTATTAGACGGCTCTATAGCCGGCCTAAAAAGTGCCGGGTAAGCAGTAAGGAGTAGTAAAAGTATATACAGGAGAACTAGGTCGTCTGTGATACCAGAGACACGAGAGGCTGCATCGTGAAACGGTAATTTATTATGACAACAGCAATACGAAAACATATAGCTTTACCGGCAACATGCGTGCGGTGCTTCCCGACGGCAGAAGGCGCTTTATTGCGATAGCAGCAACATCATATTACGGGCTTACGAGAGCTCGCCGAGGAGGCGTTACCGCCATGTGCTATCCACGCCACACACAAAAAATCGTGTTTATTTCGTTTTCTCTGCCGCCGACCGCGAGTGCCCACCACGTGACATCGGACGGGGTCAACCGTCAAGCGTCCGTCGGTTAGCGCGCAACCCGTTCGCAGCCGCCGATCTACGCAGTAGCGAGTAGGTCGGCCGCCCGTCCGCCCACCGGCAGCTGACAACCCGGATGCGGTCGCGGCTCGGCGGGATGCTGGTGTGTTTACACGTTATAGGGCACGAAGGCACCGCGGGGTTTTTGCCATCCACCATATCATCCACCAGCTTCGTACCCACCCCCCGCATAGATGATCTGTTATCGTAGCGATACCGCCCGCGTTTACGCGTGAAGGCGAGCGATAGAGTGCGGTATATATACATACAGTATACGTGGCGACAGCCCGCTAGCGCGCCCGCCTTCGACGCCACCGGAATATACACGCGCTGATTTCCACGGTCGGTGTGCGCGTGAATATCTGTGGCTCGGGCGTATATAATCGAAAGCGCATATATATACGAGGCGGTTCTCGACATTTTTGGAATAAATTACGGGCCGACGGTGGCAAACGGCGGCGGTGCTCTCTTTCCGAGAGTGCAATTTCATCGCCGACGCGCGTTGCTCGCCTTAATTGCGCGCCATTCGAGCCGTAGCGTTTTAACGTCTCGAGCGCGCACCGCAAGAACGGCGCTGCGAAACACAGGAGAAAGAAATGTAGCATTGCTTGACCCGGCGAGCCACAGGCACTTGAGCCGTCTCAATAATAGAATGATGATAAACAATCAGAGATTGCATTTCCTGCCGAAGTCTTAACGTTTATGTAATATCTTTCGTCCAATAATTCTACGCAATTCTTAGTAAAAATGCTCATTTTCAACACACAAACGCACGCCATTGTGCACACATACATAAAATATTTAGACGATCTATATTCTCCGACACAAGCCTATAGCTTTACCTATGTAGCCCTTCGCGCTGTTACAAGCCAAGCTCTATCTGTGTATAGCCCCTACTGGCTTAGCTCTACCGCTACGAATGCAGTTCTTGGTCCACCACAGCTGATTGTGGCGAAGCGAATGGGCTACATAGGTAGATGTATAGTGCTATAGCACAGAGCATCGCAGGACTGCCTGCGCATCGTCCAGATTTTCGCGCCGCTCTGGTTTCGCCAGCGAAGGACATCTCGAGAGTTCTAGAGCAACGTGATGCTCGTTTCCGGCAGCAGCGAAAGACGATTTTACGACTTTCTCTGCGCAAACACCGCACATGTTCCCGTGCAGCGTTTATTACCAAATCATTATTGGAATTATCTGCATTTCGTCTCAATTGAAATCCTTCGTCGAATTCAAATCACGGTGCATTCGCTCGGTGCAGGCTAGCGGAACCCGCGCTCTCGCTCGCACGGCGGCGCCCCAGAGATTACAATGTTTATTCATCGGCGGAATCGCGGTCGCAATTATGCGTCGCGTGTTCCCCCCCCCCCTCCGGCCGCTCGCTCCGTGTGTCGTGTACGCTGCTGTGTCATCACATGCAACACGCCACCGCCTCATCCGATACGCCGTCTCATACTCGGATCGGCTTCGGATAGTCGAATCTGGTTATAGTCGAATCGGTAGTAGTGCTGTGCCCGCACATGCAACACGCCGTCGCCCCATACCATCAGATACTCCATCTCATACTCGGATCGGCTTCGGATAGTCAGACCTAGTTATAGTCGGATATGTCGTATAGTCGGACCTAGTTATAGTCGGATATATCGTATAGTCGGATCTGGTTATAGTCGTATCGGTCGTATCGTCGGAGTAGTGGGAGTAGTGGTCCTCGGCAATGATTTTAACGTTTCGCGCGTGTGTATTTATATTGCTGCTTCGCGGTAACGTCGTGACGGACTGCTGTATCTACTGGTTAGCCCGCTTTACGTCAGCCGACCTTCATCGTGGATCACCTTCCTTTGGGAAGCCGCGGTTTCCCTCTCGCGGATTATGCCTCAGCGATGCGGCGTGGTGTGGAAGGTGCGGGAAGCAGTCGTGATGATACGCGCACGCGGGTTGGACATTGGTTTGATTTGGTCGTGGTGCAGGCGGCGTAGTGCGGTGCGAGCGGTGTGACAACAGCTAGGCGTGGTACGGGCGGAATTGTGTTGTGCGGACCGTGAGATGTGGTACAGAGACCGTGCGGAGATCGTAGCACTCTGACACCCCATTAACATCGCCTTATTATCACGATGTTTCATATCCCAAGGCGCCTGCAATCCCGTTTACGGCTTGTAATTTTAGAATCTATATGCAAAATCTAAGTCCCACTACGCCTGGGGATTGCTGGAGGGTGTAAGTTCTCTCTGTACGTGCCGATGTTGTAATCGCGGTCTGTCCTTTCATGACGAATTTTCGTTAAGACTTGGTTATCTATTTGTAAACAAATTTTACGTGTTTGATTAGACCACATATAAAGTTATTATAATTTGTTCGTGATTTATTTCAGGAAAAATCATCACTGCGGTTGCACGCAGAAATATAATTTTCTTCACATCACGCAATTTCTACTACGTTCTCACGCTGTGGCCATCACAACATTATGTGCTATATTATACATCGTGTTGTGTTGTAGGATGGTACGTCACCGCCTGCTACGCCGTGACCTCTCGCATGATATGGCTCAGTTCTGCCACCGGCCATAGTAATAATGTATTCATGTCATGGTAAATAACGCGACGCTATGTGACAGCCAGCGTGCGTCGCATCGCCTTGTTTCGCACGACTATATGCTTCACAAAAAAACGGGACAAAAGAAGTTGACTTCTCTATCCGGTAACATCAGCAGCGTACGGCCAGCAAACCGCATAAGCGATCGAGATCGGCTGCTAATATAACGCCGCGCATGCACGCACCGCCACCCCGAATATCTCTTACAATTTGGTGTCAACCCTGAATTATTCAAGCCGCCGCTCGCTTGTTTTGCTTGAATTCTAAAACCCTATTCACACGCGAAAAAAAAAGAACGAGGGTTGCCGACTGTGCCTAATGGATGCAAAAACGTGCGCGTAAGGAGACCCGGCGAGTAGCCGCATCGCACGTACGACGGTAACCGAATCGCTTCGCTCTCCAGCGCAGCTATAGCAA